CCTGGGCAAGTCAACGACAAAGTCTGGCTGGTTCGTATTTCCAGGCACGGCTTTCGAAATGAGGGCATTCCTTTCTGGGGACCTGTCTTCACTACTTTGATTCTTGTCATCTGTGTGAGCTGAGGGTTTCTAGCCTCTCTCAAGATATAAGTCACGCAGGTAGAATTACTGTGGTTTGTTGTTTTGTTTTTTTTTCTTGGTGCTGCTACTGCACAGTAGAGCTGCCTGCAGTTTGTGTAACTTCCCCTGTCTTGGCAAGGAAACAAAATGGGTTTAATATGTGTTTTAACAACAGCTAAACCTGGAGAGCTCATGCCAGAACCTGAGACAAATGCTTATATAAAGGTGCTGGTCTGACATCAGGACACGTACCAACACACAGGCTCCATACAGAGCGGGGTTGTTTGCCTGAGGCCACGTTTGTGCCTTAGCTCCCGCTAGTCGGTTTGAACTTGGGGTTTGTTTCCTGCCTGCCTCCCTCTTTAGAGCCTCACAAGGTAAATTCAGGCACATTCAGGTCTCACTGAAGCACACTGTGGTTTTATTACTTTCTGAAATTAGTTTGCCTCAAGCCCCTGGTGATGTTCTCATGGCTCATGGTGCTGCTGGAAGGTGAGTGGGGGAGCGCGTGGCTGCGCCGCCACGAGGCTGTTTGAATCGAAGATGGATGGTTTGCCAGGTTGCGGGGAGCTGAAGCTGAGTTTGTGACTCTTAAATAGAAGCCTGTTTCCTTTCCGTGCTGTGTCATGAATGCTGAATTGGTTCCCCCGCTGCTGGAAAACAGCGGGGAACAACGAAACACGCGGGTTCAAACCACTCGGTGTTCACTGCGATTAGACAAGGTAAAGCTTGCTGCAAAGCCAGGGATGGTCAGGCCGCTCGGGCAGAGGCTGGAGCAGAGCTGAAGCACCCATCTGCTTCCTCCGGGGACTGCTCCCAAGCCCCATCCTTGCTCTTGAGCTCAGCTACTTTTAGGAAGGGAGAAAAAGTTTGGACTGCCTTAGAAGGATTCACTTCTCCCTTGGATGGGAGTGAGTTTGCTGCTCAGATTGATGTGTGGGCTGAGCTGAGCCCAGATGGTTTGAGCTGAGCCTCAAACAGACACGCCTTAGCACAAAGCTCCTTCGGAGCAGTGGGAGCGTGGATATGGACGGTGGCTGACTCCTCACCCTCTTCTTTTGTGGGATAAAGGATGGTGATGGGTCTGTGGTACAGAATTCTTGCAAAAGAACGAATCTGAGATTCAGTCAGCTTTCTGGACATCCACTGCTCGTGGTAGAAAGTCCTTCCCGCCTCATTTAATAGGATCTGACTACTTTGATGACAGCTTGGGATTTGTTTATTGGAATGAATGCTTTATACCTCTGACAATTTGCTGCTCCTCACACAGCTCCAGCCACCCTGCTGGTGTTCATGTCAGTTCAGTTCAGTGGCTTTTTGATCGTCTAAGATGGTTCTGACATGGCACCGTTCATTTACATCTGCAAGAGAACCTGAGGGAAGAGGATAGCTCCAATTCCAGTCTATTTCTAAATATTCTGGAGGATATTCCCTTCCTAGCAGCTGTCATGGCCCGTATACTGAGAAAGAAAACCAGAAATCAAGCAAACCAGTGCTGGGGTTTGTTGTCCCATTCCTTAGTGGGTTTTGTGATTTAAAGACCTTGCCCTGTTGAAATTTTTGGGAAGGAAATCAAGTCCCAGAGCAGCAGAACCAGAAGCCAGTGCTTTTCTTTAGACCTGGATAAGTAAGAAGGGGAGAATCACCTGGTTTTCAGCCTATGTTTGCCACAATATAAGGTGAAAACTGTTGAGAGGATGAATTAATTCTCTAATTGAGCTTCTGGGTCAAAACTAGTATATATTACTGCTGGACAAACAATAGCTGATTTTATGTCTGGTTTAAAAGCCTGCAACACAGCTTGATGCAAACCCCACGTTTTTCTAGGTGGCAAAGGGCTGTGTTTGCGTGTCTTCCTAACCAGCACCTGCCTTCCCTGGCAGGGAGTTGCCTCTCCAAGTCCAACTCTCTTGGGAAAAAAAAAAACCTCAAACAAACCCCTTTGTTCCCTGTCACCCCTCTCTCTGTGCTTGCCCGGCGCTGCAGGAGCTGCTTGACAGATGAGCTCTGATCCCCATCGTGTCAGAACCCAGCACGGCCATTCAGCTCGGGATTCGACAGCGCAGGGGGAGGCAGGAAGGCTCTGTCAATGGGGGCATTGCTACCACTTGCCAAAACAACCCGTACGCTGTATCTGCAAAGGTGTTTTAAATGGAAACGTGCCCAAAGTTTAACTTTACGGAAACATTTCCAGCACTGTAATAACGGGGATGCAAAAATAACCAGCGGTGTGTGCCCCCCACTCCCAGCCTGGAGAACTACGGGTGAGTTCATGGCTCTCAAAAGCCCAGGCAGGTGTGTGTGCACAGGGGGAAGTGCGTGCTGTGTGTCATAAAGAAAGAATGTCCTGTGATTGCTGTATCAAAGTCCATTTCTTCTCTCCTGTTATATAGCTTTTATTGAGCACTCTTGACTTTCCAAATGTTTTACTAAAGGGAGTAGGATCCAAACTGCAATACCTTGAAATCGGGAGGTTCCCATGGATTTCGCTGGAGTTTGCTGGGTCCTTGAGCCTTGCAGCACAGGCTTGGTCAGGCATAACCCTGCAGATTCACAGGGGAGGAACGGAGACAAGACCTGCTATAGGTAAAGCAACAGAAATAAGGAGTAGGACATCCCACCCTGGCCTAAGACACACACCTCGGACCTCTTTAGTTGCTACACAGTGCAGAGAAAGAAGATTTTCAAATTGTGTCTTGGATTGTCACACCCTGTCGGATAAATGAATCCTTTTTTGTAAACAGGCAGTTTCACAGACAATAAAAATTCTTTGGTTCTAGGTGACTCATGCACAAATAGCTCACCATTACCAAGGTGGTTTGAACCAGATGGAGGTTAGTAAGTATGAATATCGCATGGCTTAATAGCAAAATATTCAGCCTTCTTTATTTGGGATTTTTATTTTAGTAGCTAGAGGAGGAGAAAAAACGCTTCTGTAAATCTGGAATTTGCACTCTTCTAGTCAGGAGCAACAAAGTACAAGTCGGAGGTGGCTTCTTCTGAATTATGTCCTTGGTCAAAGCACTGGCTCAGCTTCCCCCAGCCTGCAGAGACCAGGAGTCTCTTCAGCCTCTGCCGGTCCACGGTACAGCCTTCACCAGCGTGGTTTTGGATGGATGGGTGGGGAAACAGATGGGGACAGTGCTGTTACTTGAGCTTCGGTGCCTCTCCCACGTTCCTCCAAGGAGTGTGTGAATCCTTTCGCTGCGCTATACAATAACGCTGGGAAAACTCAAACACAAAATATTGCTTTCAGCGTGGAAAGATCTACGACTACAGTTGGTGATCACGTTGCTGAATTAACTTGGCCTTGGCTGAACAAAGGAATCATTCAGTCAGAGAAGAATGACCCAGTTACCAACTTGAGACAGAGCTATTTTTGTTTTTTTAAAGAAAAAAAAACCCAACCTTTTTAACTTAAGGGGATTGAAGTATTTGATGAATTGAGCTTGCAGTGTTGATCCTTCATCCCCAGGCAGGCATCGACCCTTTCCCTTTCTGCTGGTTACTGATCTCTCTCATTCCTCAAAAATCCATTAGTGGGGCCTCCCACATGCACATCATGTGTTGACTCAGCTACTGGCCTCCCCGCCCCAAAACAACACCCTGCCTGTCAGGAGCCATCAGAGCTGCGTCCTCCCTGCCTCCCAAATCCATACCCTGCCAATACCGGTGTTTTATCTGATGGATGCTACTTTGCAGCAACCTTTAGGAAAGCCTCGATAAGAGGGAGGGGAAGGGAGGCTGCCTTCAGATTCCCACTTTTTATTACTGACTGATTTCTATCCACTTAATAATTTTCTGGCTATTTTACACCTTGTACTCTGTAAAATTGAAGCTACTACCAATGTACCATAGATCCGCAGTATCCCAGTAACAGAGCAGGACAGACTCCTGCCTGGTTGTACTGGGCAGCATCTGAAATGGGAAACTCAATGCCAGGATCAGGTGTTGAAGAATAATTTAATTTTTGATGGACAGTTTGAGTGTATTGGCTCTCTGAAGCCGGGAGCTGAAATGGCTTCAGTGGTATTCCCACCCTTCTCAGGCTGAAGGAGGCTTTTAATGGCCAAGGTTAATAGTCACATTTAGAAAATATTTGGAAAATGCTTATAAAATCAGTAAATACACAGGCTGCTCTTTCTAGATCTACAGGTTTGCCCTATCAAAATGCAGGAGCTGGCACATTTTCAGCTATCCCCTTGGAGGTTTGTGCTCTTCCAGTGACAGACCCGAGATGACACTGGCATGGGCGAGGCGCTGGTCTGAACTGGAAGCAACTTTCTGTCGTGGTCACGTTGTGATCTTTTTCTGTCATGGCATAGCTGTTGTTTGTCCTGTAACTTTTGGAGCTTCAAGTTAGGGGGTTGAATCGTTTTTCTTCTTCATGTTAGATGAGTGAAGCTACTTTAAATTCTGTTCTATAAAGGAGTTTTTTCCCCTGTCTGTGCTGGTTTTTCCCTTCCTTAAAGATATATTGTTGAATACTGGGTACAGAATTCTTCACACTTAACTGCTCAGTGATCTGAATCTCAACCTGAAATGATAATCTAAAATCCTAAAGCATTAAAAATATATATTTATCCAAAAGTTGTGTAATAGCAATAATATATATGTAACAGTGCATTATTATGTTTGTATCTTATTTTATCCTATTAATACTGGGCAGTGCAAGTTTTAAAGCAAATTTCTCAAGACTAGACTGTAGCAAAATTTCCACTGACTTCAGCAGGGCCAGATTTTTACCAAGAATTTATTAAGAACCCCAGTTCAGTGAGCCTGCGCTTAGTAGGCTCTGAGTCTTTAATGGAGAGTTGCCTAATTATCACTGTCAAATTTTGTTTAATATTTTATGAACTTTTTTTTTTTTCCTTCTGTAGCCAAATCAAGATGACGACTGCTGCACCTCTGATCAATAACACTCAGTTCTCAGTAAATGTGACCACAAAGTCTCAAGAACAAAGTCTCTATCAAAGTAAGAAGAGTAGTGGGGTGGTTTTTTGTTGGTTTTTTTTTTTTTTTTTTTTTTAAGTGGACCTTGAACTTAGCAAACTTCAAACAGTACAATGACAACTTTGTAAATCAAACTTTTTTTTCCCCTTTCTGCTTCCCTGCCAGGTTCTGGAGCAATAGTTGCTGCCATCGTAGTAGGAGTGATTATTATTTTTACAGTGGTTCTGCTCATATTGAAAACATATAACAGGTATGTGGCCAAGTTCTGTACTTCACTAAGGTGAGGCGAGATGAACCACAGTCACTGTTAGGTGTGCTGTCTCACAGACCATTTCAGTATTTGTTGTCAGAAATTTCCAGGAGAATGTAAACTATAATGTGCCTGATTGAAGTGTCCCAGATCTCACCGTCGGTGTTCTGTGACTGAATTGCTAAGAAGCTGAAAGAGGTTCTTGATGGAGGGTGCCTGATGGAAGCTCTTTTTAGAGATTGCTGTTGCCATAGGAAAGGTCTGATGCGTACATCAAGGCTGCCAGAGAGGAGCTTGATTTCTAGAAGCACTGACTTGTCATTTAGTATCTTTGGGATGAAATCCTGACTTTTAAGTAGCTGTTTGATGTAACCTGCTTCTGCGGGAACCTTCCTGATACTTATGGGGGGAGAGACCACAACACATGCCAGCTCTGGTGACGGTTTCATTTTCACCTTTACAGACGCATGAGAGTGAAGAGGGAGCTGGAGCCCAAAAGCTCCAAACCAGCAATGCCACCTGCCTTGGGGCACAACAGCACCAGCCTGTCCCAGCATCCTACAGTGACTTTCATACCAGTGGATATCCACATGCAGAACAGGTAACTGGGAACGCTCGTCCTCCCTGGGAGAGAGGAGAGGTGGAATTCTTATTTACATGGACCTGGGACTCCTCAGCAAAGCCACGCTGCATTTGGAATAGCAACGAGCTGTTCTTCGGTCTAATTAATCCTGCTTTCTCTCTTTGGGAGGAGAAATAAGGTCTGGACATGCTTTGTATGACTGAAATCAACTGGTGGAGACATACAGATCATCAGAAGTGCAGCGAGCCTTCTCACAGAGCTCTGGGTATGGAGAGACTGGATAAACCAAGCCCATTCCTTGGAAGAAAAGATGCACACTTGTATTTGGTGGAGCCTTTGCTTGCTCAAGAGAGTTTGAGCTTTTTCTGTTCTGCAATGACTGGAAGAAAAATTTGGACATGCAAGCTACAACTCAGGTTGGACCTGGGTTTGTTATGATTTGTGTGAAGCAGGTTTTGTAGTCTGTTTTATCCGTGATGGACAGTACAGGAAGTATCAAAATTGTATTTACCTTTGCTCACTTTTCATGTTTCTAATGCCACAATGTGTATCCTTTGAGAGAAAAAAGGCTACTTTTTATTTTCAAGTGTTTTAAAAATATTTCTATAAACTCGGTAACCTGTCCCTTTCCAAACGAACTCAATGTCTAAGGGTTTTCACTCTCATGCCAAGAACTGCTTTAGGTTCGTTACTGGAGTTACGTTAGAATGTTTTGAGCTACACAAAATCTGAGAAGTCCCTTACTTGAAAAAGTGGGCAGGGAAAGGCAGTATAAAGCCAGTGAGCCTTTATACAGCCGCTATGTACAACTCACGTCCTGAAATGCTTTGTTATTTCATGCAGACTAGGCTTGAACTATTTTTAGGGTAGTTGTTTTTTTGGCTTTTTGTTTTTTTGGTTTTTTTTTTTCAGAAAGTAACCGAAAGTGTTGTTTTGCCACTGTGATGACTGTGGGTGTGCAGTAATGCAACAAAGAAATTCCCAAGGGTATTCACAGCCCACTGAGGGTGAACACACAGCAGCATTGTCAGACATTCAGTGGACGCTTGTCTTAAGGGTGTATCAAAGCAGCCCTGAAACACGGGCCAGATAGGAAGGATTAGGAAGAAGTTGAGGACTTAAACACAGTTTTAAATGGAAGGAAGTGAGGCTCTGAGAAACATCTCCACTCTTTGACACACACATCTTAAATTTTACAGAAGGACTCACTTGCATGGCTGGCCAGGGAGTGAAAAGGGAGTACTAAGGCTGTAGGCTGGGTTTATCACTGTAGTCTGGATTTTTGTGTGTGTCTGCACTGAGACACCACCAGCCGTCAGCTCTTACAGGGCTCCAGCCTGTTTGTAGGCCTTAGTAAAACTGTTAGTAGGGTATTTTTAACTCCTTTTGGGAGCTGTAGAGAAAGAAGTTACTGTTGTCTAACTAAATTGATCACAGAGAGCCTCCAGCTTTAAAGCTTTCTGTCCTGCAGCGGTTCACTTGCTGTTCTTCCCAGAACTGTCCCATGGCACCTTAACGCCGTGCCAAAACAAAGCTGTCTGATCCTCAGAGTAAAGTGATGAGGGACTGGAGTGATAAGTTGATATATTTTTTCCAAGATGTGAATGCATCTCTCGAACAGGGCATTTTTACTGACTGGTATTTTTGTGCAGAAATTAAATTCGATTACTTTGCAAATTTTTTTTTTTTTGGTATGAAACTGGAGCACAGTTTAAATTCCAGACTAAATATTAAGACAGCTGTTTGTGAGGTTTCTAAATCTTGTTGTTAATATTTTACTTGTCCTAGTGCTCTAACTTATATTTTGTGGCAGGAATGATGGATATAATAATTCAGATGGGACTGCAGGTGCCAATTTAATTTTTTTTCTAAAAATGTAAAGGAGTTAGCCTCCTGTTGCTATCTCTGGACAGCTAAGGATGTTTTCTCAGCATGTTCCATTGTATCAAAATCAAGATCTTTAGAAAAGATAAGCCTCACCTTACTGTTATTTTTTAACGTTACCAGCCAGACCTATTTCTAGCAACTTTTTCTCACTTTCCATTTACAGAATTTCAAAACAATCAAGTTCACTTTGCTTCCCTGAAGCAGAAGAAGCAATACTTCTGTAAGCACTTCTAGATTAGTAGAATTACTATTACTTGCAGGAGAATTACTGCTTTGACTGCACTAGGATTGCTCAATCTGAAAAATTCAAAGCGTGCTGTTTTACAAGTCAAATTTGCCTTATATTGGCACAACCTGGGAGGCCCCCATAATCCATTCTGACTCCTGTCAGCAAAATCTAGCTCTTATGCTGACCAAGCAAAATCACCTCCTTAAGAAACAAAAATCACTGTATTTCCACTGCACTGCCACTGTAACGCTTGTGTAATTTGCTGTGGGTTTAGCAGTTTTCCAGGAACAATCTCGTGTTGTCCTTGTCCTGTAATAGTAGCTGCTTCAGTGCTGATTTGACTGGCCCTGTCTAAGCACCCGGCTTCCACTTTCAAACCTCCAGCTTTTGGAAAAGCTCCGCTTTAGCAGCCTTTGTGTCCAGCCTTGCCATCAGGTAAACCTGCTGGATTAAAAAAAAAAAAACAACCCAAAACACCAAACCACAAGTGAAAACTGATATTGCAAATTGGTCTATTAAAGAAATCCCAGACCATGTAAGCCTTTGGAGAGAATAGGCAATGTAAGTGTAATGCATTAATTATGATTCACCCAGGCTCATTAGAGATTATCCACGAAGCTCTGCAAATTAATACAAAGTTGAACCCTCAGTGGCACAGAGCCCCCGAGTGCCTTTTTGCTCAGCAATGTGATACAAGCAACCTTTCCAGTTCCTTACTCTGTTCTTTGGTTAAGTTTTACAAAACAGCCTCTCTTTACAAAACACCCGCGGGGCTGTATTCAGCAGTGACAATGAGGATATTTGGTCTGCAGGTCATACAATGAAATATGGCTCAAACGTTTTTCAAAGCGTGTACTCAAAAGTTGGTCTGCAGCAGGTCTTGTGGGAATTAGTGGTTTTTTTTTTTTTCTTGCTCCTAATAGTCTTCTAGAGTGAAAGGCTTCAGGAGGTTGGATCCTTCACTGTCACAGCTGGCACTTTACTGATGCAAGTACACTAGTAAAATGTTTAAATTTTCACTTCTAGGTGAGTCTTGTTTCCCAAAACTTCTGCAAGGCAGCTTTCACCCCTTCTGGGTCCGTCACCCACCTTATTTCAGCAGAGAGCACGTAGCTCCATCTAGTGTCCTTCTCCTATCTAACAGGTTGCAACGCATATTTATCATCAGACAAAACCACAGAGTAATTCCAGTTTTAGTTGCCGACTTTGCTACATTTCAAAAAACTACCCACGCCCACACCGCAGTCCTCCTTTCTCCTTACTCCAGTGCCAGGACTGTCAGGTAGCTGAGTTGAACGCTATCCCAAGTTTGGCTCTGCAAGCCTAAGCAGATAAAATACAAGAATGTTCTTTGGATCTTTTTTTCTGAGTTGTATAATCAATTTATTTTCCAAAAAGACATCTGTAAAACCATGCGTCTCTTACATGTGGCACGTGACTGCTGATAAAGCAGGAAGCAGCTGTTTTAAGTATAATCTAACTTTATTTAAAATAACAGAGTATTTCCTTTTTAGAGGTAAAGGACATACGAGTTTCTTCTAGATAAAACCCAGGGCTGTTACTTTGGGTAAATTTGTATTAAACCCAGTGAACTGTGACTTTACTCTCCTCTCACGTCTTTCAGCCACACACGAGCTTTGCCAGCACAAGCCACATGCTCACTTGTCATGGAGTGGGATGGAGCATGAGGCTGCTCATGACAATTCGCAGCAGCGGAACTCAACCCAGCCCGTTGCCTTTCCTGACCGGGCAGGCGGTGAACACGCACCCCCACGCGGTGCTCGTGTCCTGCGGAAGCACAACAGGCCCGGAGAGGCGCGGGCAGAGGCCTGGGCTGGCAGCGTGCCTCACGGGAGTGACCCCTCCAGGCCCCGGGGGTGCTGTGAGGCCGCATCTGCCCAGGGTCGCCTGGACCCCGACCTGACGCGAGGGCAGAGACCTGGGGAAGAGCCGCTCTTCCCGCCCGGGGCGGCTGATGGGGCCGGCCCAGGCCGAGGCCATCATGGCCGCTTCCCGCCTCCTCCTCC